TGGAATTAAAGGACGACAACAAGATAGATACAACTACCAACTCCACAGAACCGAGTCCGGAATACAACAGAACAGTAAAGGGACAACCGGGATCGCTATACTTATACCAAAATGATGAGCGCGTCGAGGGCTTCGTCTTGACCGGTGGAGATCGTTTTCTGGCGAAGTTGGTTTTTGAGTTTTTCTCCTCTTCTCTCTTGAGGTAGGGATTTCCTTGGTTTCTTTTCAATGCCTGCTTTATAGATAGATATGTGGTATATTATTATTGCATAAAAACCATGTTGTATGGGTTTATTTTCGAAAATCATGGTAGATGGCATTAGATTTGGGTGTGAGGTTGAAAGTTCATGAGAGGGATTGTTATTGGGTTAAATTTGGGGTGTTATTCAATATGTTCATGATTAGAGAGATAAAACCATAATTTTTGAATTAATGTCTAATAGAATAAAAGGGGGTTAAAATTGTTGAATAATTATGTTATGAGTTTAAGAAATGTGGTGAATGAGTTGATAATTGATTTATGCTAAAATTGCATTTTTATGAATTGAAACATTAACTTGTGTTGGATTGGTCGTCTTTAAACATAATAAATTGTTGAGTTGTAGGAATTAATTAAGCCTCATAAGTTCCTAATATTGACTTAGTGTTGTGTGTTCAAGGTTGATTGTAGTGTCATGATAATGAGTATGTTAAAGGGAATGAAATTAATCATGAGATTAGGAAATCTTTGAGTACACCACCATTAAATAGAAATTGTGTAAGTTTATAACTTGCCAACCATGATAAAAAAAATCCCTTTTTTTTAAAAAGAAGGAAACCGTATTGGTCATATTTTGTGAAGTGAAACAAAATTGGATTGAGGCATAAGGCGGAGAATATTAATACAGAAGAAATAAAATAATTGATTTTTGAGATGGAAGAAATGGAACCCTAACACTGTACGAATGTCGAAAATCTACTTGGATTAAATCACGAATATGTTTTGTTCTGTTGTTGTGTAATTGGAAATCAAAGTCTCATGAGAATTGGCTAATGGTGTCATGCTTTTAATATATGTTGCTTAGAGATTTTGTCCTTGGTCATCGGTGGAGGATGACATTGTTGTGTTGATTGGTTGTGTGTGTGCATTACACTTGTGGGTTGTGCCTATTCATGTTGTTGGTTAATGATATGTGTGTTGCGCTGAGAATCAAAGGTACCACTCCCTTCCAGCTAGAGCTTGGTAAATTGGCTACACTAATAATCAGAGGTTCCAATCCCTTCCAGCTAGCGCCTGGTAAATTGGCTGTGTGAGTGATGCGCTGATAATCAGAGGTACCAATCCCTTCCAGCTAGCGCCTGGTAAATTGGCATGTTTTGTGGAGAGATGAACCTTTGGCTTACCGTGCTGCGGGCAAGTAAAGCAGGGGATGTGTATTGCTATTGTTTCATTTTGATTTGTGTATAACAAGTGTTATGATAATTGTGATTGGGTAAAAACTAATTGTCTTACATGTTGAGTAATTGCATTCCTATAAATTTGGGTGTGCTTGAGAATGGTTGAAGGAGTTTCCACCACAAGTTATCTTATTTAAGGCATTCCTTAAATTTTGAGTCTAAACTGTGGGATGGGACAAACCCGTTGAGACGGATCATGTTTACATTTGAGTTATGAACAACGTGAAGAAAATGGACTTAATGAACGAGCTTTCAAAAATAAAGTGGGTATTATGTGGTGCTTTGTCGCAAACAGAAAATATGGTTATCGAGTAATAATTGTTTAAGTGGGAAATTAGGGAAAGCGAGACTTGGTGTTGTTACATAAACTGAATGTATTTGAGGCAGGTATTATGTAAGTATATTTTGATTATAAAATGTGACATTATTTATATGGTATGGGATTAGCATTCATGATCATAGCTATCTGTGAGTTGTTATCGTTGAGGATCATGTTGAGATCCTTACTGGACTATATGTTCATCCCACGTTGCTAATCTTCTTCAGGTGAACATGGAGCAATGTTTCGAGATCTTGGATCTTTTTGATTTGTTGGCCACGGGGCCTCTTACGTGTTGGCAGAATGTCGTGGATGTAAAAAGGGTTAAACCCTTCTTCTTGATTTAAATTATGTAAGCCTGCGGGCACTTCTTTTAGTTATGTACATGTTGCATTTAATTTGAGTTTCTGAATGAGAGAACATTTATTTATTCTTATACTTGATGTAAAGAGTTTCCGCATGTTATCTCTGAAATGGAATAAACTTAACGGATGTGGTAATGGATTTCGGGTAATAAAAAGTGGGGTGTGACAATTACAGTACCCATTACTGTTTCCATATGGTATAGATAGATAGAGGTGCAGCATCTCTTCTAATATATCTTCAAGCAGATCTCGAAACAATGTGTCAATTAGAGAATTTTATGCATTTAGACTCCAACATAGAGAATTTGAAGGTAAAACACTTTAAAGAGGAGGGCGTTTGTTTCAACAATTTGTCGTTGACTATTATGCTGCTATTGAGCAAACTAGATTGAGTTACATCAAGACCCATCAAGCTGAGTTGCACGCAAACCTACATCAAGGAATAGAAGATGTTGTAGTTGCTGGAGATGTAGATGCGTCAGCAGTAAGAAGAAGATTTGTGTTGCCTTCATCATTCTCTAGGGGGCCACGTAGTATGATCCAACGTTATCAAGATGCTATGGCAATTTACAGAACTATTAGAGCTCTTGATTTGTTTGTCACGTTCACATGCAATCCTATATGGCCAGAAATAAAAGTTGATCTTCCAAGACTACCGAATCAATGTGTAAAAGATAGACTTGATATCGTTGCTAGAGTTTTTCGGATTAAGTTTAAACAACTACTAACCGACTTGAAGGAAAATAAAATATTTGGAGAAGTACTTTCAGGTATTATTATTCTAACACCTGTTCATTTATGATATAACAAATACTCTTAATGTCTAATGTATCAATAATTATTTTTATGAACAATTATTTACGTCATCGAGTTTCAAAAATGGGGATTGTCGCATTCTCATATTACAATCACACTGGCATCGGAGAATAAGCCAATCATACCTGAACAAATTGATGAGTTTATATGTACTGAATTGCCTGACAAAAATGCAGACCCATTGGCATATGAGACTATTGTCAGATGCATGATACATGAACCTTGTGGTGCTGCTAATCCCAATGCTCCATGCATGGTAGATGGAAAGTGTACAAAACATTATCCAAAGAAATTTTGTGATGAAACAACAATTGATGATAATGGATTTGTATCATACAGGCGCAGATGTGATGAGGGCAACACAGTAAGCATAAATGAATTTATAGTTGACAACAGATGGGTCATTCCATATAATCGTGATCTTTTGGTGCGATATGATTGCCACATTAATATTGAACGATGTGTGCACCCGAAGTTGATGAAATATTTGTACAAATATGTCAATAAAGGACCTAATCGTGCGACAACTGTGATTGAGGATAATGTTATTCATCCAAACAATAATGGACAACGACATTACAAAAAAATTGATGAGATCAAACAGTATTTGGATACTCGATACGTGTCTGCGATTGAAGCGTGTTGGAGGATATTTGAGTTTGAAATTCAGAAACAAACTCCTTCTGTTAAGCGCTTACAATATCATCCTCCAGGTCAACAATTTGCTATATTTAATGACAATGATCATCTACACGAAGTTATTGACCAACAACGTGTTCATGACACAATGTTGACCAAATAATTTGAAGCAAATAGAACCCACCAATCTGCAAAGGAGTTGATCTATGTTGAATTTCCAACAAAATGGGTATGGAAAAGAGATAAAAAAAAATGGGATGCCCGAAAATCACATAAATGTATTGGTAGATTGCCATATGCACATCCAACATCGGGTGAGAGACATTGTTTGAGAATGTTATTGAATAAGGTTCGTGGTGCAGAAAGTTTTGAGCATATCAGAACTGTAAATGGAGCCGTGCATACAACATTTAAATCTGCATGTATTCCACTTGGTCTACTCGATGATGATAATGAATGGCACGAGGCATTGGCAGAAGCATCAAATTGGGCATCAGCAACAAAACTTCGACATATGTATTGCACAATGCTCATGTTTTCTGATATAACCAATCCAGTCGAATTATAGGAACATCACAGGAAACGTTTCACCGATGATATACAATATAGAATCAGAAGAGATATGAGAGATAGTGATCTACATCTTGACGATGAAGACATAAAAAATTTAGGACTTCTCGAAATTTAGCATATGTTAAATAGAAATGGAAGATCTCTCAAGGATTTCCCTCCCATGCCATTGCCATCTTTGCAAGGTGCTCAATGTGTGACAAATAGGCTCATCAGAGAAGAGATAAAGTACAATAGTGTTTCGAAAAAACAATTGTTCAATGAATTACATTCTGGTTTAAACAGTGATCAGTTGGAAGTTTATGACACCATAATAAATGCATACAATTGTAAAAAAGGGGGTTTATTTTTCCTTTACGGAAGTGGGGGAACAGGAAAAACATATTTGTGGAAGATATTGATAGTAAAGTTTAGGTCAAGAAAAAAAATTTGTCATTTCAGTTGCATCATCTGCAATTACGACTTTACTGTTACCAGGAGGTAGAACTGCGCATTCACGCTTTAAAGTTCCAATTAATTTGGATGAATTCTCAAGTTGTAGTATTAATCACTAGACTGAACTAGCAAAATTAATTCAAGACGCATCATTGATCATATGGGATGAAGCTCCAATGCACCATCGTTATGGATTTGAGGCAGTTAATTGTACTTTCAGAGATATACTAAAGGGTACAGAATTTTGTTCAACTGATTGTGTATTTGGTGGAAAACTATTCTTACTTGGTGGTGACTTCAGACAAATTTTACCTGTAGTACCAAAAGGTAGGCGGGAAGCCACAATTGCAACGTCTTTGAAGGAATCGACTATTTAGAATCATTGTCCTGTGTTGCATTTGAGGACCAATATGCGTATTATGGCCCATGATACTTCTATTCAAATGCGTCAACAACTAAGGGATTTTGCTAACTGGATATTGATGATTGGTGATGGAAAAATACCTGGAATTTCTTTCACTGAACGCGGGGAGACTAATTGGATTGAAATTCCAAAACAGTTCTTGATTAGAAATGGATCACATGCTCTACATGATTTGATCCATGCAATCTATCCAGAATTGAGTACTAGATACAGTGACAGTTCTTACTTGAAAGAACGTGACATCTTAGCACCAAAAAATGCTGATGTTGATGAATTAAATGTCATAATGCTATCAATGTTGCCTGAAAAATCTCAAAAATACCTAAGTGCATGTACGATACGTCCAGCTGAGGGTGAGAACTTTGACGAAGGCATGCATCCACCAGAGTTATTGCACTCATTAAATTTTCTAGGAATTCCAAGTCATTGCCTTGAACTCAAAAAGGGAGCGCCTATAATGCTACTGAGAAATCTCAATCAATCTCAAGGTCTATGTAATGGCACCCGTCTTATTGTTGAAAAAATGGGAGATGAAGTGATTGAGACACGAGTGATTACGGGTTCGAATATTGGGGAAGGAGTCTTCATTCCACGTATCATTTTATCACCATCTACCACACATTCACCTGTCCCAATTAAAAGAAGAAAATTTCCCATAAAATTAGCATTTGCAATGACCATAAACAAAAGTCAAGGTCAGACTTTAAAAAAAGTTGATGTATACCTTCCTAATCCAGTATTCTCCCACGGTCAGTTATATGTTGCCTTATCGCGTGTTACCACACCATCAAGCTTCAAGATATTGATTGTTAATAAGGTTGACCAACCATCAAATTATACAAAAAATATTGTATATCGTGATGTCCTTGATGGCATTTGAAGATTGATATAAAATGTCTTTTCAAAATTTGAATGACTATGTTTTTTTTTTATTCTTTAATTATACAATACTTACTACTCTAAATTCTAAATCTTATCCAAAATATTACATTTAGTGTACAAAAAATTGGATGATCTAATCTTTTTTTTTTCATTTTTATTTAATAAAAATAATTTAAAAACTTACCCTTACAAAATATGTTTGTATAATAATTCATTACTTATTTTTTCTATTTTATCATAATGTAAACTTAACATTTTTTATTTTTTTAATTAAAAATTCTTAATATTTTCATTTTCAAATTTCTTGAGATCTATAGATTCATCGTATAAAAATTATAAATTCATATTTTGCTCATATGCATCTACATTGTCAATAGGTGATAGAATTATCAGATATCCCTATTTTGTTGATTTACATCCATATGCAAGTAATTGGAGCGTTAAAGCTCAATTAGTCAAGTTGTTAGCTGTGACTAATCGTCCTGGGGGAAACATGACATTCAAAATGATTTTTGTTGATGGACAGGTATTTATAACTCTTATCATGAGATAATTGTTAAATATTTTGTTTTATATTATGTTAAAAATGTGTACTTATTACCTTTTTTGAAAGGATGATGCCATGAAAGGAACTGTATGCTCTGAGAATTATACTTACTTCAAAGAACATTTAATTGAAGGAAAAATATATTGTTTTAGAGGAGTTCATATTACATTGGCTAATGAGAAATTCAAGTTGGTGCCATATTATTATAAGATGTCTTTTACTAATGATACAACAATTGTGCACATACTTGATCATGATAATAATATATCACTTCAATGGTATTTCCTTAAAAAATTATCAGACATTGGCCAATTTCTTCATCAAGATGTTCAATTAATAAGTACGTTACTTTTATTAAATGATACTTATCTAGATTATATACTTACATAGTTTATTACCAATACAAAAAATTCGTGATTATCAAAACAATAAACATGCCAATGCTAAAATATGCAGATGTGATTGGCTTGGTTGTTAGTGTAACTGAATGTTAAGGTATTGCAAATCATGATAATTACAAGAAAGAGATTATACTACTTGATACAAGGTATGATACTATAACATATTTCTGTGTCTTTACCAAATTTGAAATACTCTACGAATTATATTATTTTTCCTAATCTCAACTTTTTTTTTTAATTGAAAAAACAGTTTCACATTGGTAAGACTAACTCTATGGGATGTGTTTGAAACAACTGATGGCATGCAACTATATCATGCTCTAGAGAATGATAATATTTTATTTTCCATTGGATTAACAGTTAAAGATTATCATGGTAGGATTACTTTTTATTCACTTTTACAAAATCTACATGTATATATACAAATATTGATATTAATAAATTATCTTTTCTCAACTTCTAGGTCCATGTCTCGCTACATGCAAATGCAACAAGTTATATATTAATCATTCATTTCGTTATACAAATCATATTTGAGTGCGGTATGTTATGACTGTATAATATTAATCAATTATATGTGACAATATAATTCTCACAATTATATATATTGACATGTGTATCAAGGCTTGCTATAAATCCTATATCACAAAAGTTGGTATCTTGGAATCGAAAAAATGGATTCTCAATTTCACAGTCATTGATAATATCAAATGCCAAAATAATTCGAATACGTGATTTTGCACTCATGCCAAAGGTAAGAATTATTATCATCCCAATTAATGAAAGTTAAACGATATGTATATAATTTGTTTATAAGGAGATTAATTTATGTTTTTTCAAATATTTGTAGGTTTCATATTTTCGAATACTTGGGTACATCGAACAAATTGATATTGACAACCTTTGGATTGATTTGTGCAAAAGTTGCTATCAAAAAGTTGAATATCATTATGTTCACATTGTTTGTCATCACAACCTACATGATGATATTGATATTATAACAAAGTAATTTTTCTTTAGGTAAATAATTGCTATGTACAATAATAATTCAAACTTAACAAGTGTTTTAATTTTTTATTAGGTACAATATTTCCTTTTAACAAGTGTCCATTTTTTTTTTGTTGTTGTTGTTGTTGGTAAAATACAATGTTAACCTTATGGTCAAAGACAGTACTGATTCAATAAATCTCAATGTTCAAAATAAACAAGCAGAGTTTATTTTGCGATATCAACCATCATATTTGAAGAATATGAGATCAAAGGTAGGAAATTATAAAATTTATTATAAATAACTTATTCTTACTTTTTCAAACACAAAGTTATAATTCCAAAATTTTATAGGATAATGGCGTTAGAAGGATTAGAGATTATATTGCGCCATGTCAAGACCGTGCCTATGCATTTATCATACCTATACCAACAATGCCACGTCAACTAGATTGTGCACCATGCGTAACCTTTGTTTTAAATATAGATTGGTCTGAAGAATGTCTATACCTTTCAGAAGGTTAAAAAAAAACATGTAAGCATAACAATTTTACTTTATAACATTTTTTAAATACATAATATATGTGTTGTTCATTAATTATAATACTAACTATCATGTTGACAATGCAGGAATGCTGATGGAAGGCTCACAACAATTTAGATTTTAGTTATTTTTTATTTTACTTATTCAGTGAATTTCGAACAAATGTAATAAATTCTTATTTTTATTACTTTAATTATGCAATGTCAATATTTTCTTTTAAAATTACATATATTTTATGCTAACAATTTAAAAATATGTTTGACGTAACTATAAATGGTTTTTTTTTTAATTTAATCCCGTGCATAGCATGGGTTGTCACGCCCCACATTTTATTACTCGGATTACTATTGCCAAGCCTTTATTATACATTCAATTTCAGAGTTAGCATACAGAAGCTCATAATATTCTCAAGGAATAAATCAATAGGATTCCCTCAATCGGATAAAAATGAATGCAACATAGATATACAATTAAAGAAGTTGCCCGTAGACTTACATCGTTTAAAAAAAAAACATCAAGAGGAAGGGTGTAACCCTTTTACATCAATGGCATTCCGTCTACACATAAAAAGGCCCCATGGCCAACAAATAAAGAATATCTGAAATCTTGTAATACGTCCTGATAATCACCTGAAAAAGATTGAACAACGTGGGATGAACATATAATCCTGTAGGGATCTCAACATGATCCTCAACAATAACAACTTATAGATAGCTATGATCATGAATACTAGCCTCATACCATATAAATAATGTGACATTTTATGACCAAAGTATAGATATATGTGCTATTCCCAAAATCATTCCGTTATTTAACATCAACTTTCACTTTTACTACCATTTTTCCCAATGAACAACTCTTATCCATTTCCATGTTTCCATTTATGACAAATACCCATGATACCCACTTTATTTTTGAAAACACGTTCACCAAAACCAATACTCTCATATTTATCAATTCAAAATAAAAACCCAAGTCTGACTCCACACATTCATCGCATCTCAACCTTACGTTCAAGTTAAAGAGATATATCAATAATTCATTGTTGGTAGGTAGCCCCCTCAACCACTCTCAACACGTCCAAACATACTCAAACACATTTACACTACACATAAAACAATTCAACCTCGCCGAATCATGATCATCATAACACATAATACACATAACCAAGTAAGATAACAATAACAACAAATCTCCGCTCTACTTGCCTCAAGCACAGTAAGCCAATGATTTCACCTCTTAACAACAACATGCCAATTTACCAGACACCAGCTGGAAGGGAATGGTACCTCTTCTCTATTTTACCAGGCGCTAGCTGGAAGGGAATGGTACCTCTGATTCTCAGCGTAGCCAATTCTCCAAGCGCTAGCTGAAAGGTAATGATACCTCTGATTCTCAGCTCATTACACCCCTTTCGATCATCACAACATGATAAGGTACAACCAACAAATGCAATGCATACACAACCACATCAGAGTGCAACCAACTCAAGCGTAAAACGTACACGCAACTATTCAACACAACAATGTCATCCTCCACCGATGACCAAGGACAAAACCTCTAAGTGTTTGTATTTCAACGCATGTGTTTTAACAATTCAATTCTCATGAGGTCTTAAGTCCAACAATCAACAACAAAAAAGTAAAGCATTAGTGATCCAAACTCAAGTAAATCTCCGGGACTCATATGATGTTAACGTCTCATTCCTTCCATTACAAAACCAATTACTGTTTTCTCCTACAATAACATTCTTCACCTTATGCCTTAATCCAATTTTACTTCACTTCACAAAAACATGACCAATTCACTTTCCATCATTTTAAATAGGAGATCTCTATCATGGCGGCAAGTTATAATTCACATCATTTCTATTTAATGGTAAGGTGACGAACTGTAGCATGAGGTCCCCCTCCGCGGGCGCGTCTACAAAAACCAATTACCATTTTCTCCTACAATAACATTCTTCACCTTATGCCTTAATCCAATTTTACTTCACTTCACAAAAACATGACCAATTCACTTTCCATCATTTTAAATAGGAGATCTCTATCATGGCGGCAAGTTATAATTCACATCATTTCTATTTAATGGTAATGTAAATTCATTAATAATCTAATTTCACGGTTATATCCCCTTTTTACAATTAACAATTAATTAATTTGTTGTATTTAAACATAGTCAATCCAACACCAAAATAATACCCAAATCGCAAGATCCAATTAAATCTTAAATCAAATTCCAACACATTAACTTCATTCCATAAATTCATAACATAATTGTTTCACAAATTCCATCCATTTTTATCCATTAGACATTACTAAAAAAAATCTAGGGCTTGGACTCTCTACTCATGCATATATTAAATCACACCCCAAAATTTAACCCAACATCAACCCATCTCATGAAATCTCTATCTCAATACCCAAGCCTCACATCCTCTGTCATGATTTTTGAAAATAAACCCATACCACATGGTTTTTATGCAATAAAAACATACCACATATCTATCTATAGTAGAGGAATTGAAAAGAATCAAAGAAATCCCTACCTCAAGAGAGAAGAGGAGAAAGAGCCCAAAACCGACCTCGCCGAAATACGATCTCCACCAGTCAAGACGAAGCCCTCGACACACTCATCATTTTGGTATAAGGGACTAACATCAAAATCTCTATGGATTTATTGAGATCAAAGAAGATGTAATGTTTTGTGGGTTTGGGTAGAGAGAGATGAGAGGAAATGAGAGAAAATATTGCAGAGAGAGAGTGATATAATCTGAAAATGAAAGCAAACGGGGCAAGATATCAAAATATAGCTGAAAGCAAGAAATTTAGAGCAAAAACACGCTCTGCTGCATGTGCGGCGCACCTCCCCGCATGTGCGGAGCGGCCCCTCCCGCACGTGCGGCTCTCACCCCTGCACGTGTGGTTCTTCCTGCACCTCACTCGCACACCTGCTTTTTGGGCAGTGTGCACACAACACTTCCTCCCAACCTCCCACACGTGCGGCCCCTCCCGCACGTGTAGCCCTGGGCCCCCGCACGTGCGGCCCTTGCCCTTCCAGCCCAGAAAAACCACGGCTTCCTCCCCGGCACTCTGGAGTCGACTGTGCACCCTCCGGGACACGTGCAAACTCAGAAAATGAAACAATGCAACTGAAAATATGTATAGAATTAATTCTCAGGAACAACGAACACCACTAACGGCAAGACCACACTTTGAAACCTGAGTCCAAACGAAGGCAATACCGACATAACTCATGAGAATAAGGTTAAATACGAACCGGTCATCACACGGATGATATGCTAGTATATTATATAAAGAAAATGAGATTTTTAGGGAAAAAGCTTTTAGGAGCTCCAAAACCTTTATTCTAAAATTATTCAATTTTCTTAATTTAAACAATTAAGAAAATTCTCGTTGGCTACCTTCCATTTACCTTTTATTTTACAATCCCACATCGGAAAAAGAAAGAAAAAGTGAATTAGTTCACTTACATAAAGTGAATCTTATGCTCCCATTTATGTAAGCAAAATGAGATTTTTAGTGAGAAGCCTTATGATCAATATCTCATACTTATTTTTTTGATTTTCTTAATTTTAAACAATTAAAAAAATCTTCATTGGTTGGCTTCCATTTAACTTTTTTTTACAATCTCACATAGACGTTTTGATTTTAAAAATAATTTTGCGTGAGATTTTGAAACTCTTATAATATTTAACTTTAAAATAATTACAATCCCACATCAAAAAAAGAAATAAAAAGTGAGTTGTTTTACTTATATAACATGTTACAATCCCGCATCGAGAAAAGAAAGAAAAAATGAATTGTTTTACTTATATAAAATGAATCTTATAAAGATGATTTTAAGGGAGAAGCCTTCTAAAAATTTCAAACTCTCATTCTAAAATTATTGAATTTTCTCAATTTTAAATAATTAAAAAAATTCTCATTGGCTACCTTCCATTTACCCTTTATTTTAAAATCCCCTCCCCCTCCCAAAAAAAAAAAAAGAAAAAAAAAGAAAAAGAAAGAAAGTGAATTATTTTTACATAAAATAAATCTTATGCTCCAATTTATATAAATTATTGAAATTTCTTAATTTTAAACAATTAAGAAAATTTCCATTGGTTAGTGTCCATTTAACTTTTATTTTATAATCCCACATCGGGGAAAAAAAAAGTGAATTGTTTAACTTATATAAAGTGAATCTTATGCTCTCATTTATATAAGCAAAAGAAATTTTTTTGTGAGAAGCCTTATAATCAATATTAATTTTTTTTTTATTTTCTTAATTTTAAACCATTAAGAAAATCTTCATTGGTTAGCTTCCATTGAACTTTTATTTTTCAATTCCACATAGACGTTTTGATTTTAAAAATAATTTTGTATGAGATTTTGAAACTCTCATAATATTTAACTTTAAAATAATTACAATCCTACATTGAGAAAAGAAAAAAGAAAAAAAAATGAGTTGTTTCACTTATATAAAATGAATCTTATACTCTCATTTAATATTATAATATTGTACATATTTCAGTTCAAGATGGTTTAAAATTTATCAAGGTTTAAATTAATTAATTTTGTTGTAAATTGGTTGGTCTTTTGACTTAGCTAATTAGGCTAAATCGTTTTCGATTTTATTGATTTTCTGGTTTAACCACAGTTTTGGCTGTTTTGTCAAAATATATTACTCAGAGTTGTTGATTTGAAATAAACTAAGATTGACTTTATTAAAAATTGAACAACTAAGATTGCTTGATTAGAAATGAACTTCCCATCCAAACAACCGTTAATTTTTATTTTGCAATTCCACATTAGGAAAATAAGGAAAAAATGAGTTATTTCACTATATAAATCTTATACTCTCATTTAATATTATACTATTGTGTATGTTTCAGTTCAAAACAGTTTAAATTTTAAAATTAATATAAGATTTAAAATTTTTAATTAATATTTTTGTATAAGTTGGTTGGTCTTTTGACCTAGCCGATGGGGTGAACTGTTTTTAGTTTGACTGATTTGCTGGTTTAACTGTGATTTTAACGGTTTTATCAAAATATATTGGTTAAATTTGTTTCATTCGAAATAAATTAAAAATTGACCTAATTAAAGATTAAA